AATGTAGTTTCAGGTTACCATTTGATCATACTAGAAAGAAAAGAAGGTTAATTTAGGTTTATTTAAATTTTTTTGGTGGTTACGAGGTCGGTCGAGTTGAATGATCCAATTTTGAGATTAGGGTAGAGAAAATAACATATAAACTATATGGATTTAGTGAAAAAGAATAGAATAGATAAAACAAGTAATAATAACAATAGTAATATAATTAAAATTATTCATGAAGCATGCACGCGAGCAGCTCATCCGTAATGTAATTTGATAGAGTAACGTGAGCTGCACATTCCCCAAGTGATTTACAGCTTATATTGGCGCGGATAGCAGTTAGACATGGTTCAAAGGGCAATAGAACAATAAAATTTAATTATATATAGATGTATAATGTTACAAACTTAGATCTACTTAGGATAGACGAATGTAGTTTCAGGTTACAATCTGAAGTCATTCTAGAAAGAAAAGAAGGTTTAATTTAGGTTTATTTAGATTTTTTTTTTTTTGGTGGTTACAAGGTCGGTCGAATTGACCAATCCAGTTTTGATGTTAGGGTAGAGAAAATAACATATAAACTATGAGGATTTAGTCAAAAAAAAAACGTTTGAAATGCATTTAGGAGGTTTTAGGGATTACACAAAGGAAATTTGAGATTTGTGAGATGATGAAAAGTATTTTAATTTTAACATGAAAATTACTTTTCACACAGACTATTCGAAACGAATACTCAATAAATTCATGGACAAAACTTTATTTTATTAAAAATACTTCACTAAGAAATATGACTTTCTGTATGTGAAAGACTTCTAATATTAACTCAAAGACTGCCAAATTTTGTGAAGATATACCCAATATATAGAGTTAAGTATTAAATTTATGTCAACTTTAAATGAGTACAGAAGGTCACGTGGCTCGGTCAAATCGACCAACCCCGTGTCGGAAGAGTTAACTGGGACTTAATAGTTTAATTAACAATAATGCCAAGCAACTATCCACTAGCTAATAGTTCCCTTACTCTATTGCAAGTCTTGTATATTAAGAACAGTGTAAGATACATATATTACATGTAAGATCGTATCATGTTCTTCCTTTTAGGTAAATCACAAACCCTCAACATTGCATACGAACACTACAATGTACATAAAAACATGTCATCACAAACCCTCAACATTATGTAGAAATGCTACAATGTACATAAGAACTTGTCATCACAAACCCTCAACATTAGCAATCGATGTGTTCGAAGGAAAACGAAGTTTGATTATAAACAAGATTACGACAATTATGATATACAACATTGTTTTCTTATGCATGATGTGGATTTGGATTTAAGATTAGTTTTTACTTGAGGGTAGTAACGACCAAGTATGCGTTTAAGTTGATTTTTTAAATTTAAGCTTTGTTTGCTTAACATTGTTTATAATCAAACTTCGTTTTCCTTCGAACACATCAATTGCAAAGATTTGAATAGAGTTGTTTAATGTTTGGAATGGTCTATTTTCTCATGGGGGGGGGGG